TCCTGGGTTCAAGCGATTCTCCTGCCTCAGCCTCCCGAGTAGCTGGGACTACAGGCATGTGCCACCACGCATGGCCAATTTTTATATTTTTTAGTAGAAATGGGGTTTCACCATATTGGAGAGGCTGGTCTCGAACTCCTGACCTCATGATCCACCCGCCTCAGCCTCCCAAAGTGCTGGGATTACAAGCATGAGCCACTGCACCCAGCCAGTCTCAGATATTTCTTTATAGCAGTGTGAAAACAGTCTAGTAGTATTAATATGTGCTATATATTAAGAGAAGCATTAGAGAAAAAACTTTTGCTCCACAAGAGCAAAAATTTGGCAGTAGACTGAATGGCCATCAAGAGAAGAATGAAATGGATGAACTCTGATATTATCAGTGCAATGACACACTATACAAGGGTCAAAACAGGTGAATTCCAATGACAATAATATGGACAAATATTAGCAATATTCTATGAAGTGGAAAAAAGTAAAGAAAGGTTCTAAAAGATTGTATTCATGATGATACTCTAAGAGTAAAAGCAACTAAAATGAATAAAAATAAAATTTTAGATTACATACAGATGCAAAGAAAGTATATAAAAGGAAAGTAAGGGACTCAAAATAATGGATAACTTAAGTGGGGAAGACGGTATGAGATGGGAGAATCTTACGGTTAGATATTCTTGTTTTTGTTTTTCTTTCTGGTTTTTTTTTTTTTTAGACAAAATCTCGTTCCGTCACCCAGGCTGGAGTGTAGTGGCGTTATCTCAGCTCACTGCATCCTCCACCTCCCTGGTTCAAGCAATTCTTCTGCATCAGCCTCTCGAGTAGCTGGGATTACTCGCGCACACCACCACACCTGGCTAATTTTTTGCATTTTTAGTAGAGATGGGTTTTCATCATGTTGGACAGGCTGGTCTCGAACTCCTGACCTCGTGATTCGCCCGCCTTGGCCTCCCAAAGTGCTTGGATTGCAGGTGTGAGCCACTACGCCTGGCCTCTTTTTTTGTAAAACAAACAAAAATATGTATATATGCATGTGTGCATATATGTATATGTGATGCATGTGTGCATATATGTATATGTGATACATATGTGATATATACATAAACATATATTTACAGTATATATACAGATTTATAGTCTATAGACTATAAATCTTTACAGTATATATGTATATATTTACATATACATTATATATACTATTAACCTATAATATACACAATATACTATAGCATACACTGTATATATAGTGTATATACAGTATATGTATAGACACAGTATGCAGTATATACTGTGTCTATAGTATATACTATAGATGTGCAGTGTATGTACTCTATATGTATATATATTGTATACATACATACAGTGTGTATATATAGACACATACTGTAAATGTTATATATACACACACACAAATACTGAAAATCTTTGCAGACCATTGTGAAAGTATCTGTAGAATAAGAGTGGGCTTTCTTGATCCTTGGGGCTGTGGCTTCCAAGAGCCTTAAGGCTCTAGTTGACCAAAACCAAAGAAGGTGGCACTGGCTTGCACAAAGAAGGCAAGGTTGTGTGATATCTCTCTCCCTCATCATGTCTGTGCTTAGTATTTAATTGTTGCCAGATAGCGCCTGTGTATAAATGAGACCACATAGGAGGCTGGGCACCTCCATGCTGTGTACTTTGATTGATCTATTAGCTTGTTTGTAAGTGCTAGGTCTCAGTTTTCTGATCTCTAAGTTGTCTTTCAGCAATAAAATGTGAGGCATATTTGAATTCCATGTCACATTTGGAGATGACAGATTTGTCATCTTCTGCGTTGTGAGTTATTTCTTCTAAGTGCCCTCAACTGAAATGATAAGGAGGCCAGACATAGTGGGTCAGGCCTGTAATCCAGGCACTTTTGGAGGCTGAGGTGGGAGGATCACTCGAAGCCAGAAATTTGACCAGCTTGGGCAACAAAGCAAGATTCTGTCTCTACAAAAACAAAAATAAGAACAGGCCATGCGTGTTGGCTCATGTCTGTGACCCCAGCACACTGGGAGGCCGAGGCAGGTGGATCACTGGAGATGAGGAGTTCAAGACCAGCCTGGCTAACATGGTGAAACCCCATCCCTAGTGAAAAATACAAAAATGAGTCAGGCGTGGTGGCACACACCTGCAATCTCAGTTACTCAGGAGGCTGAGGCAGGAGAATTGCTTGAACGTGGGCTGCACCACTGCATTCCAGCCTGGGCAATAGAATGAGACTGTCTCAAAGGACAACAACAACAACAACAAACCACACACACACACACACACACACACACACACGTTAACCAGGTGTGGTGGTGTATGTCTGTAGTTGTAGTTACTCAGGAGGCTGATGTGGGAGGATTGCTTGAGCCCAGGGTTTGAGGATATAATGAGCTATGATCATGAGGCTGCACTCCAGCCTGGGCAGCACAGTGAAACTATGTCTCAAAACAAATAAAATTAAAAATAAATGATAAGGAACTGTAGTCTGGGTATTTGTTCCTTCATTCATTGACTTAATTAATACACAGAGCCCTTCTTTATTTTAGGTTTCTGGCTTTGGAATCTTTTTCATTTTTCTTGATTTGCAAAATATTTTTTGAGAGGTACATACTAGAGTTGTACTACGTGAAACTATGTTTGACTCAGCTGCTTTTAGCAAAGTTTGGGTTTCTTGACCCACCTCAATCTCAGTTTTTTTGGTTTGATGGCGCATGTGTTGTAAGTGGGTGTCTACCTCTTATCACTACTGCTAGTCACTGAACTAGACAGCTTTACTGCTGTATTTTTGTTACAGGGATGGATCCAAGTGCTCAATGGATGCAGCCAGTTCCCTTCCTCTTCTTATTTATCTCATCTCAGCTTGTCTCTGCTCCTTTTTCCTGCAGCAGCAACAGCAGCATTTCCTATGTGGTTGAGGAAAAAAGCCACAGTTTAAGTTTATGTAATCCTTACAGTTTGAGATGCCAGAGGAGAAGATCTCTCTCCCAAATTGGTGTAGATCAAATTTCAGGGAAGATTCTAATTGGTCCTGCCTTGGTCACATGTGCACTTCTGAACCAATGCTTGTAGTTAGGGGAGTGGAGTGCTTTGATTGGCTAGTCTGAGTCACATGCCCACTTGTGTTGGGATGCTGAGCTCTGTGATTGACAGCCCCCCAGAGACAGCATGGGCCAGGAAGGCACGGTACTCCTAGTGAAGAGGAATGTTGAGTCAGTAATTCCTGTTAATTACTACTTCCCTGCAAGCTGATGTTGTTGTTTCCCACTGACAGTGAATGGAGTGTATATTCTCACCCAAACTGTCTTCTTTCCTATTAACTCACCTCTGTGCTAAGCTCTCCTGTCTGATATTGTTGGACAAAAGCAAGTAATTGGCTTTTATTTCCTTCTGATGTTTTCTCCCAATTCTTTTTTCTTTATCTTTGAATAGGGACATGATCAGTGTAAAAGCAACCTGACTTCCCTATCTTTGAAGGTCTAATGATCCCTCATCCCTCATCAGCCTTTCTTGGCCAAGTAGGCATGTGATTACATTTCCACTTCAATTAAATGCTGCACCCTGAAGACAGATGCCTCTTGTGGTCAAGGGTGCTGCCCACAAGTACAACTGTGTCCTATATATAGTGCAGTATTTATGCTTCTGAGATCTTGGAACTTCTTCCTTTTCCTCACCTTAATAGCTTAGAAGTGATCATTTTACCACTTGGTCCAATCAGCGTCTACTTTGTGTAATTTCTCTTCTGTCTCTTGAATCAAAAATGGCCTGTAAATGTATTCATTTAGCTCCACCGCAATACTAATCTTTAGAAATCTATTTCTAACATTTAAAAACTAAGAGATGCTACAAACAAATCTGGATTTTTGCTTCTTTTGAACAAATCAGAAGATCTGTGCATCTTGGGTCCATATTCCCCACAGCAATGACATGCTGGAGTGGCCCTCTGCGCTGGCCATGCATTCCCCAGGCCACCACTCCCAAGGGTGTTCCCATTTGAAGCACTGTTGTCATTTACCGTCTCACTTGCTGGTTATTTTTGCTTCCATTTGGCCCACTTCACTCAGTCACATTCCCTGCCTGGCCCCTGGAGCGCTGTTGGAGTTTGTGACTCCAGGTTGGGCAGCCATTGCAAATCAGGGGCAGGTTGAAGCAAGGTTTAAACCACTGATGAGTTGGGGCCTAGATTGGCTTTCTGCCTCAAGGCTCAAAGTAGACATAGATTGATGGCATACTTCAAAGGCCAAAGAGATACTTCTAAGAGTTTGAAAGAACTGCTGCTACTTGTCTGTATAACATCTATTGTGCCTTTCAAGAGAATTATATGATGTTTAAATACAATAAACGAAAGTTTCCAGAAATAGATATAAATACTGTAGAAGAATGCTAACATATCTTACATCTGGATCACCTTAAAGAAACAACATAAGGTTCAAAATCTTAAAATGATTTTGTAAAATAGTGATGTGTACTTACATTTTATTAAAATCTTTTATTGACTTCTTTATCTGTCCCATATAGTAATAAATGTTTGCAGATGGAAGGAAGAAATGAAAAAAGAAAGACCTACTGGCACAGTGGCTCCGTCTCAGAAAAAAAACTCACAAAAAACAAAAAAAAAAGAAAGGAACTACTTGAATGCAGAGATTGGTTAATCCATTTTTTAATTTAGTTTTTTTTTTCTTGAGATGGAGTCTCACTCTGTCACCCAGGCTGGAGAGCAGTTGTGTGATCTCAGTTCATTGCAACCTCCGCCCCCAAGGTTTAAGCAGTTCTCCTGCCTTGGCCTCCTGAGTAGCTGGGACTACAGGTACATGCCACCACGCCTGGCTAATTTTCGTATTTTTTTAGTAGGGGTTCACCATGTTGGCCGGGCTGGTCACGAACTCCTGACCTCAAGTGATTCACTCACCTTGGCCTCCCAAAATACTGGGATTTCAGAAGTAAGCCACTGCCCCAGCCCATTTTTTTTCATTTTCTTTTTCTTTTTTTTTAAATTAAAAAATATGGAACGCTTCAATTTGCATGTCATCCTTGTGCAGGGGCCATGCTCATCTTCTCCGTATCGTTCCAATTTTAGTATATGTGCTGCCAAATCGAGCATTTTTTTTTTTTTTTTGAGACCAAGTCTTACTCTGTCACCTGGGCTGGAGTGCAATGGTGTGATCTCAGCTCACTACAACCTCTGCCTCCTGGTTTAAGCAATTCTCATGCCTCAGCCTCCTGAGTAGCTGGGACTACAGCCACCTGCCACTATGCCCAGCTAATTTTTTGTATTTTTAGTAGAGACGGGGTTTCACCATACTAGTCAGGATGGTCTCGAACTCCTGACCTCATGATTTGCCTGCCTCAGTCTCCCAAAGTGCTGGGATTACAGGCGTGAGCCACTGGACCTGCCCCCCCCCGTATACTTTAAATAATCTCTAGATATTATAACACCAAATGCAATGTAAATGCCATGTAAATAGTTGTTATACTATTTTTGACAAGAAAAAGATCCGTATATGTTCAGTACAGATGCAAACATCCATTTTTTTTCTTGAATATTTTCTATTCATGGTTTATTGAATCCATAAAAGCAGAACTCACAGAAATGGAGGGCCAACTTTTTTGGGAAATGTAAGTTTCCTTTTGTTCCTTGCCTCCCAGTCACCCAGCTGCCTCTCCAGAAACAACTGTTAATTAGTTTCTAATGTCTCCTTCCATATATAGGTAATGTTTGCAAACCTTTACATGTATCTGTTGTCGACTCACCCACCCCTCTTCTGTCTTAGAATACCATATGCATCTGCATTTATTTAGCACAGATACAGTCTCTTCAGGTACTAAATCATATGTTTATGAATTTGAAATCCCTGAACTTCCCTATTTAGTCATATAAATAGAATTTTGCTGGTAGAAAATTTCCTGAAGCTTTATGTGGTTCTTGGCCTAAGTCAGTGAGATTTGCCAAAGGTTTGGCAGCTTTAACCAATGCTGATGCACCTGTTCTCAGTTACTTTCTTCTGAGCTGTGTCTGATAAGCAAGGAAAGGAATAAGCTAAATTACACCCAGGATGATCTGCTAGGGATGTGCCACACAAGATAATGAATGTGCTTCACTTCTATCACTTGGCCCAGCTTGCGGATCCCTTCTTTGCTCTAGCTGATGGGTCTTATCTCTTATTTGATGTTATTTTCTGTCTCCCCTTGCTGCCTGTCAGATTTTGGTGAAACTTCATTTCTCAGTGAATACTTCCTTTCTGAACAGCTTCACACTGCTCAAAGATGAATCATGCTACCTCTGTGTTTCTGAGCTATATCTTATTAACCCTATGTTTCTCTCTCACTTTCTCTCTTTGAGACAGAGCCTTGCTTTGTTGCCCAGTCTGAAGTACAGTGGCACAATCTTAGCTCACTGTAGCCTCCAACTCCTGGGTTCAAGAGATCCTCCTACCTCACCCTCACAAGTAGCTGGAACCACAGGTGCCCACCACCATGCTTGGCTAATTTTTGTTTTTAGAGATGGGGGTCGCTTTATGTTGCCCAGGCCCCTTTTCCTTTTTCAGAGATGGAGTCTTGCCATATTACCCAGGCTGGATTTGAACTCCTGTGCTCAAGGGATCCTCCTACCTCAGTATCCTGAGTAGCAGGGATTATAGACACATACCACAGTGCACAGCTTTCATATTTTTCTTTTTCTTTTTCCTTTTTTGAGATGGAGTCTTGCTCTGTTGCCCAGGCTAGAGTGTAGTGGCATGATCTCGGTTCACTGAGACCTCTGCCTCCCAGGTTCAAGTAATTTTCCTGCCTCAGCCTCCCGAGTAGCTAGGACTACAGGTGTGTGCCACCACGCCTGGCTAATTTGTATGTTTTTTAGTAGAAATGGGGTTTCACCATGTTGGTCAGACTGGTATCAAACGCCTGACCTTGTGATCCACTCGCTTCAGCCCCACAAAGTGCTGGGGATTACAGACGTGAGCCACTGTGCCCGGCCTTTT